TCCTTTCAATGATAAAAATCAAATGTGATATTCATTTTAATTTTTGGAAGTTTCGTTCAAAAAAGATCTGAAAGTTACTTAATCTGGAACTGGATTTCTCTCTGGATTTGGGCAAACTGGAAAAAAAACGTTGATGTAGCTAATCAACTATGGCTTTGAAGAAGTGTATTCATACACAGACAATCACCAGGCCCCATCCTGGAAGCCAATCATTTCAGAACACGTTTTTTCAAGATGTCAGTTTGCTGTAATAGTAGGTTGTTAGACTCAAACTACCATATTCTTTTTTTTTTGTCTTTGTTTTTGTTTTTGAGTTTGCAAAAAGCAGTAAGCTTAAGCCACAGGGAAAAACACAAAACTACTTTTCACCAATTAAAAGAGACTTTCTCCATTTATGTGTATTTAAAACTCAACCTTAAAAAAATGTAGAGATTTCATACTTTAAAACTTTAAAAAAGTAGACTCTATTAAAATCTCACGTTGTCATTGTGGGCTCCTCTAGTTAAAGACCATGCCATTATTTCCATTATACTTCCCTCCTAATTTTCAGGGCTTATTAGCTTGGCAGTAAAAACTTGCTCCAGTTGAAATTTGGCAAGCTGACAAGGCTGCGTGCCAGAAGTAATTTACTATCCAGTGTGGTTTGCAAAGTAAAAGAAGCTATAAATAATAGAAAACGAAATGAAAAGTTACTGGTTCCAAATATTTTAATGTCACCTCAAACTTTTCAGCTTTTGTGGTTGGCAATGCGAGATAACATGAAAGGTTTGAAAAGTACAGATGCTTTGCATTCGCATCAAACCAGGGGCTCTGATGTTCTTCGGCATCAAAGACCAATCTGTGTCTATCACTTCTGCTCTGACTTTGAAGTCTACCAGGGCTTTCTGTGTGGGAGAGTTGGACAGGGGACTTCGAACAAGGCAGGGGGATGGGATTCCAGGTGCCTCGTCTCTCATTGCTGAAATTAGGTACTTCACTTTATCAAATAATAATAATAATAAAAAATAGGCAACTATTTCTCTGCCGTTTTTTTTTTGTTACCAGGGATCAAACTCAGGACCTTGCACTTTTGAGGCAGGCGGCAGAACCACTGAGCTAAATCCCTGGGCCTTTCTCTGCTGTTTTTAACCACAGGGCTAGCTGTCTGTGAACTTAACCTTCAGAAGTGACAATGTGACTATCCCAAGGAAAAGCTCAAGTTTACTTTGTAGTTTAAGTTCAAGTGCTTTGAAGGCAAGAATAGAAATTTTAACTTGATTTGCAAACATCTGGTTGGTGTTCATCTGGCAGCTCCTTAAGAAATTGTCTCAGGACCCTAACTGAGAGTTCTCTTTGCTCTGTTTTTCAGATTGGCTTATCAGCGCTGAAATGGGGGCCAAGTGTTTCTCTAAGCCTGGGTGATCAGGACACATCAATCTGGGATCAATCTTATTTGACAACCTGGGGAAAATCACAATAATGTATATTAAAACAAATACTAACATATTGTGGGCTTGGATGCAAAATTCATGTGAACACTTTTAGAGGGGAGGAAGACTGATCATTTGTACAGTGGTACTTGTACTTGTTTGTTTGCAAATGGAAGCGTTAGGCAAAATTTTGTTTGTTTGTGGACTCTGTATTGGATGAAGAAGAATAAGACAATGGCCATCTTTCCTGCATGAACACAAACATGGCCATCTTTTCCAGAATTGTGGAATGAATTGTTTGTGAACTGAGATGCCACTGTATATAATAATTCTACCCTTGGTGGGGGTTGGAGGAGAGGAGAAGGGGAAGTAAAAAGAATTAAGATGTGCTGGGGATTAAGATGTGGTGCTGCCTGCCTTGCATAGCACAAGGTCCCGAGTTCAATCCCTGGTACCAAAAACAAACAAACAAGCCCCCCTCAAAAAAAACCAAAACAAAAGAATTAAGATGTTTGCCAGATGTGGTGGCATACACCTGTAATCCCAGGATTCAGGAGGCTGAGGCAGGAGGATTTCTGTGAGTTTGAGGCCAACCTGGGCTACATAGTGAGTTCAAGTTCAGCCTGAACTACATAGTGAGACCCTGTCTCAAAAAAGCAAAGTAACAATAATAATAAAAAATAAATAAAATGAATCTTTAAAAAATCATTAAGATGTTTAATGTATATGTACCAACTCAATTCCCCTTCATGAATGTAGTCATTATGTACTGCAAACATGTACTAATAAAAATTAAAAAGTTAAAAAAAAATTGTTCTGACACACACATAAAAATAATCAAGTTGTTAAAGAGAATGATATTCTCAGAATTTGGTAATTAACTTTTTCTTTTTAAAGTATAACTTCTAAGAGTACAAATCTTAAATGTATACTTCAGTGCCTAGCTTTTTACATATGTATACACACATGTTCCATCCACCTGATCAAGTATAGATCATCTCCAGACCCAGAGATGATCTGGGTTTCCTTGCACCCCTCCCAGTCAGTACCACCTTACTAATCTGACAAGGTAAATTTTAAAGATAAAATATAAGACTAAAATAGAGCATTCTGAGGGGTCATTCTATCCTTCCAGACTCAAGCGCACATATTTTCTGTCCATATTGGACATTATACAATTTTCTTTGCTGTCTTGGGGTTTCTCCTACAGATGATATTTTTGGTGCTGGGGACGGTATCTGAGGGCTCACATATGCTAAGAACTCTCCATCACTGCTCTAAATCCATAGCCTGTAGTAGATGCTTTTTACCTCCTCAAGAGCTCCTTCTTGGATTGAAATTTTCACATATTTATGTGATGCATTAGGTGGGCTAATAAAAGAGTTAGAACAAAACCAGGGGTAGTGGTGCATGTGTGTAATCCCAGCACTTGGGAGGTTGAAGCAAGAGGATCGTTGCAAGTTCAAGGCCAGCCTGGGCTACATAGTGAGTTCAAGGCCAGCCTAAACTACACAGCAAGACCCTGTCTCAAAAAATGAAAAAAATAGGGGCCGAGGATTTAGCTCAGTAGTTCCAGCGCTTGCCTTGCAAGCGCAAGGTCCCGAGTTCAATCCCTGGTACCAAAATAAAATAGAAATAAAAAAGCGAAGAGTCCACATAGTAGCTATGTACACAGTAAGTCTTAGACAGCTATTATGAAGTACAGAAGTGAAAGGAAGATTTTCCATTTCCATTTAATAATTATTTTCCATTGTAATAATTAAAAGCAAGGTAAAATCTAAATTTCAAAATGAGGGGAGGAGAGTATTTGTGGTTAGGTTGATTTAAAAGTTGTCTATCAGTAGCTGGGTGTGGTGGTACACACCTGTAATCCCAGCACTCAGGAGGCTGAGGCAGGAAGACTCCTGTGAGTTCCAAGCCAGCCTGGGCTACATAGTGAGACCCTGTCTCAAAAAAAAAAAAAAAAGTATCTGATGAAAAATTGTCTATCCGATTTGCCCTAAATGAAAGATTACAATTTGCCCAGCTGACTTAATTGTACCTGAAGAAAATTTGCAAGTGCCTTTTTTTATTTCATGCATTTATTATTTATTTATATTTTTTTGCGGTACTGGGGATCGAACTGAGGACCTTGTGCTTGCCACACAGGCGCAGAGTGAGCCACTGAGCTACATCCCCGGCCATTTATGCATTTATTTATGGAGCGCTTATTACATGATAGGAATTGCTCTCTTCTTCCAGGGAACAAAACTGGAAAACATTCCTGCCCATGTGATGCTTACTATCTAGTGTCATCCCACTCGTACTCTTAACACAGGCTCCAGTCATTTCACTCTTACAAAGAAACTGCATCTTTGTGTTACAACTATGGTTTTCCTCCACATTCCTCATGTCACACAGCTGAGAGTTAAGAGATGATAAAGCCCAAGCCAACCTTTGTCTCAGCTTTGAGGCCAGAAGAGTAAAATGTGAAATGAAAGAAAGAAGGAAAGCTACAGACATGGAGCATGGTTGATTGCTAAGCCTAGACCCCTTTCATAAATCACACAGAGGATCAAGGTGCTAATGTGAATGTTGAAATAAACAGGTCTAGCAAGAACTCCTGGTTTGGAGTTGGCTTTTTATCATCTTCCAAAACTTTAAAAAAAGAACCGAGCCGTGCAGTTATTATTTTAGGTTTAGTAATTATACCAGTAATATAGCATCTAAACTGGGTTGTCTGATGTTCTCTTAGCACTGCTAAGCTGCTTGGGCAACGCTTTAAGGAGAGTCTATCTATAATTTGTTGATTTATTTGAGTAATTCCCAAACTTTTCATTACCAAAATCCCCTTTCCAAAAACATTACACCGTCTGATATTTACCCAGGGGCATGTGTTTTGAAAGAGCCTGGCTACAGTCAGGATATTTAAATAATAAACAGCGCGCAAGCGCAAGGACCCGACTTCGACCCCAGGTACCAACCCCCCCCCCCAACAACAAAAAACCATTTACTTTGAAATTAATCTCCAAATAAGATTCTAATTGGCACGTGGAAATCCAAGGTCATCACACCGGTTTACTAAAAGTGGAATGCAGCTAAGACTAAGGGTTTTGGGTAGCCGGGCCAGTTTCAGAGCCCTTGTGTATTTCCATGGCTTTTTTTTGGTACTGGGCATCGAACTCGGGACCTTGAGCTTGCAAGGCAGGCGGCGGAAAATCCCCGGCCCTCCATGGCTTTTTGAAATGCTTACGTTCTCTGATTATAAAATATCATTCTCTATTAGCATTCTATATTTTTTTAGTTTCGGGAATGGGGGTGGGGAAAGGGACTACAACAAAAACAGACACCATCTAGCAGAAAACTCGCTTCACGCCACTTTCAGGTAGCCCGGGTAACTTTCCGATCCCCGCCTAAGTTTGGCGGCGCGCGCAGCTAGCTCCGCCTCGTTCTGGTTCCCGTCCCCTCCTGGCCCCGCCCCTCCGTTTGAGTACTTACCAAGGACCCAGAGGGTTTCTGGCTGCAATCCCACAGTCAGCCACAGAGAGGTGACAGCGGCCGCGAGAGCAGAAAGGCCTTTTCCAAAGGCGGAAGCGGAAAGGGCGGGACGTAGGCGCACGTTACATCAGTACGTGTGAGCTTTACGGCTGGGTCTCCCGACGGGAAGGTGAATGCGTCCTGCGCGTGTCGGTGTTTCACTTCTTTTCGGCTTGTAGAGTTTGGACCTCATGGCGGAAATAATTCAGGAACGCATAGAGGATCGAATTCCCGAGTTGGAACAGCTGGAACGCATTGGACTGTTCAGTCACGCGGAGATTAAGTGAGAGGACTGGGGCAGGCAGAGGGGAGGTTGGGGGTGTGTGTGGCTAGTAGTCAGGGGTGGGGATAGTTGATTTGTATTTATTTTTCCTAACTCGATAAAAAAGCTCATTTCCGGACCTTTCTGTCCAGAATAAAATACTCATCCATTGAAAGGGGATCCGTCAGTCTATTTACCCACCAGACACACTGTCAGCCCTTCACAGAGCCTGGTCTTGGAACTATAAAGGTGGCATAACCAAGGTCCCTACCCATCAGCAGCTAACTAGGGTACTGTGAATGGCAGGAAGCTCGGACAAATTGAACCTTTTAGTTGCAGGGTAAGTTAGAGCGAAGGTGTAGTACTCTTCAGATGAGAGCGAAGGGCTGCTGGAACCCAGGAGGAGTGGATAAATCTTCCTAACTAGATCGCTAAGGAGAACCATTTAATTTCATTTCGTATGTGATCCCAGAGCATACCCACAGTGTCTGGCACGTAGTTGGCATTCAGTGATTTTTAAAAATTATTTTTAGTGAGTTTCAGTGACTTTTTGATTTACAGTGACTGGATGAAGTAATATGACCGCGGGAGCCTCAAAATAAACACTTGTTAATGAAACAGGACACAGCAGTGGGGACTCTTAGAAAATGCTCAGGAAATGTTACCATTACTAAGTTTAATTGTCCTGTACATCTTGGATTAAATTCTCCTAATATACGTATGTTGTACGTTCACTTCTTAACTAAGGATGATGAAGCTAGGTGTGGTGGTGCACATCTTTTATCCCTAGCATGCTGGAGGCCGAGGTAGGGGGATCATAAGATAGAGGCCAGCCTGGACTACATAGGGAGTTCAAGTCTAGCCTGGACTACATAGTGGCATAGTGAACCCGTGTCTCAAAAATAAAAGTGTACTACAGAGATTTGATTATAAAAAGCTACCCATTGAGGGATGAGTATGTAACTCAGAGGTAGAGAGCTTGCCTAGCATGCACAAGGGTTTGAAATCAGACATTTCCAAAACAAAACAAAACACCCCCCCCCCCAAAAAAACAACCCAGAAAAACTTGAAATTACTTGAATTTAGAGGAAAAGAAATGTCTGTTTGCTTTGCTGGGGAAAATATCAATGATCCTGACAATCAAGATGATCTAAAGTTTAAAAATTCATCTCTATGGCCTTCAGAACACAGAAGTAGGTTATCGTGTTTCTTTGTGATAGCCCACCCTACAATGTAGGGTGTATTTTTATTTTTTAACTCCCCTTTTACATGGCCCAAACTTGCACAGCCTGTTCTTCCCCTATTTGTCTTTTTTTCCCCCTTTTAATAAATATACAACTTTGCCACTGGGGGAAAACAAACCATGGAAGTAATCATGTAAGACAATAATTACAAAGGATAATTGTATCTGAGAATTATATGCTTTGGTAAATACATGTTTAAAAAATATGTACATACACATACACACACATACAGCACAGAGTCCACTAAAAAAGTGTATACACAGTTGGAGTTCGCCATACTAATAAATTTCTGGAAGCTAATGGCCACCACTTTGAACACCTCCTTGTAGAAGCCAAAGGTAACTTTTGTTAATCTAATGATGTCTCAATAAATTTAATGTTAAAATATTTATACAGGTTTTTTTTAAATATATACTTATAGACTCTGTGTATGACCCTAAACCCAAAGTTAACTTTTGCTTTTTTTGAGTATTATAGTTTAAATGACTTTTTCCTTAGGGCTATCATTAAGAAGGCTTCTGATCTAGAATACAAAATACAGCGAAGAGCACTTTTCAAGGAAGACTTTATCAATTATGTTCAAGTAAGTGAATACTTACATTTTAATCCTCCAATATTTTAATTGTTAGAGCAAATGGTGAGTTCAACATTAGTTTTCTGCAAAATTCCACAATTGTTCTGTTTTGTTTTTGTTTTTATTTTTTGGTACCGGGGATTGAACTTGGGACCTTGCGCTTGCGAGGCAGGCGCTGGAACCACTGAGCTAAATCCCTGGCCCTAGACAACTTTTTTTGCCTGCCTGTCCGCCTGCCCGCCTGCCCGCCTGCCCGCCTGCCCGCC